TACGAGCAATCCAATTATTCATGGCCAAATGCAGAGGCAAAAAGGGATTTTCTGCGGCGAGGTCAGACATTCTACCGGACCCTGATGGCACCCCAGGATTGCTGCTATTGTTATTCCAATAATACACAATTCTCTCCAACATATACACCATAATAATATGCCAATCTTTTTTCTTGTAATCAGTCCAGCAAGATCCATTCACCCGGTACTTGTCCTTGCAATATACCCCAAGAAACATGTTTGCTATATGAAACGTATTGCTGTAAGCCTGGGTAGCCATTGCTTCATACATCGGGTTTTCTTTGACGGTTTCATCGTCAGCTCCGTAAACGAGAGTCTTGAAGTAGTCCTTAGTTACTTTTTTGACATGTTCAACGTTGTATGCCTTTGGATCAGGTATAGTTCTCATGCCTAGGGAATTCAAATTGTTGTGATTTCCGAGGGCTATGTCGTTCGTCTGATAATACTGAATGGCCTTTGAGATACAGTTTTTGATCATACGCTGTTCTGCTTTGTGTTCTATTAAATCAATCATTTATGATTAGTGAATGAACAATAAGGCTTCATTTTATAAATCTCACCTTCTTCACTTCGACAAGAGCTTGAACCCAGCGCCGACTTGCTGCTAATCCTTTTACGTTTTGTTACCGTATTTCCGGGCTCTTCAGAAGCTACAGCTGTCTTCACCAAGTCAGGGATTATGCTAATAGATTTGTTAACAATATCGATCATTGCTTTCATAGAATAAACCATTCTCTTCATAGACTCGACCATTGATTTCGTTGCATTTCATTGGATTGATTGGAAGGATAATTGGAATTCATTGTTCAGGACTAAAAATAAGATGCAGAAAAAAAAATGAAATACCAAAAAAAATTAACCTTAAATATATGCATTTTCGGTCATGTACCTTTTTTTGTTTTTGTATGAGCCTTTCGGTCTTATGCTCCTTTTTGGGAAAGTATAAGAAATACCAATCATCACTCTTCATTACGTCATGGAATATCGCTCCATCAAACCGAAATAAAAATATTCTTTTACACGAAAGTACATTTTACTTGTGATTTGGTTTTTGACAAGGACATACGATCTAATAAGGCAAACATCTGTGAAAGATATTGAGTAGTGAGCGATTAAAAAAGGTATAAATCCAAAAAAAATGCTTGATACTTCCTTTAAAATCATCCATTTTATCTTCATACTTTAAACAATGACAAACCCAAATTCGGCTCAGAAAGCTAAACTAAGTCGTGCCTCTCAAAAAGGTTTAACTAGACGTCTTTTGAAAAGCATCCCTAAGTTCACTAGTCCTGCTACTACTTGTGATATTCCCATTCTTCCTGCTACCACTGCTGACACCGTTGCCACTCTCCTTCTTCCAAATACTACCGTTACTGCCTCTGAAGACTATGATGTAGACATGTCCGAATTTTGCGATTTTGACGTGGCCGGTATCGATCCAAACAAAATGAACATGCTGACTGAAAAAGAGATAGCCGAACAAGAAGAAGAGCATGTTCGATATATTGATGGTGAGATTTCGGACATAGAGAGCGAAGATGACACGGACAGCGAAGAGTTCCAAAGAGCACGAGAATGCCAGCTTGAAGAAGTTGACGATGTAGATGAGGTTATGGAAGGTAAACTGTTTTTGATATTTGATGATTTCATACCTTAACTAATGATCACAAAATTATAGATGTCCGTGTAAGTAGCGACAGTCAAGATGATTCAAACATCAGAAATGTTTTTATACCAGATTATCCATTTGACCAAGATGAGCTTGATACTTTACAATTCAACTATCTCTGTATCAGTAATAATATGACAGTCCAGTCTTCAAGAAAAATAAAAATGTTTATCGAAATGATTATTAACCGAAACAAAACTCGTAAGTTACAATTGTTCATACAGCCAAAGTTCATCTACTTACCATTTTTTTTCCAAGCTCATTCTCGTAAAAAAAAGATACTTCTTCTTAAGGAGTGCATTGCTTTGATTAAAAAGAAAATACCCAATTCATTTGTCCGCACCCATGAAATCTGCTCGGGTAAAGGTTGTTATCTTTTTGATCCTGTTATTGATGCTGATAAGCTTGCTTGTCCCCACTGCGCTGCTTCCAGACGGTCCGGTTCTGTAGTCAAAATGGTTGACATTGGTGATCAAATAAGCCATATGCTCGCGTGCGACGAATTCCGTAAAGAAGTAGAGCAATACCGGGAAGTCATCGATGCTAGAACAGATGATGACCCCTACACAGATTTCTTCTCTGGTTCCGCATATCAAGAGCTCCTGGCGAAAGGTCTGTTTGCTGGTAAGCATGAAATCGGAATAGTTCTCTGTGTAGATGGTTTTACTTCTCGTGTCTCCAACCAAAGTATGGTAATGGTCCATGTCATCATTCCTAGTATAGATCCATCAATCAGGTAAAATATAATCTTTTTATATAAACTTAAAAATCAGTATTAATTTCTTATTTTTACAACCAATTTAGATACACAGATGATTATACCTTCCAAATAGCAATTCTTTTTGGTGATACCAAGACCGACTTTGATTCGTACTTACGCCCAATTATTCAAAGTCTTGATCGCTTGAGCCAACAGCCCATCGTTATCAAACGTAATGGTGTCTTTGTTGCTAAATCGCATGTTTATAACCTTGGTGTCATTGCAGATGGCATCGAGATCAACCAACGGTTGTTAAAGTTTGCTGGCCATACAAGTTGGTATAGGTGTCGATTTTGCCTTAGTAACTAAAACAACTTGATTAAATAACACTTTCAAATTCTAACCCTCCTCCTTAGTAAAAGGTGGCCACCCCGTCGAGGAAAAAAAGTCCGGGATGTATTTTTTCGAAAGAGGTGCTCCTATTCGTACAAGGGAGTCTTTGACTGAAGAAATAGTAAGTGCTAGGACAGAGCTTCATTTCAATATAATATTAAATACCTCTTCCTATTATAGCCTGCTGGAACGGAAAGATACGGCATCAAGGAACCCACGCCTTTCGGACAGCTGAGTACCTTCCTCTCTATTGACTTTTTCATGTGTGATGAGCTTCACATGTTCTCAAACGTTAGCAAGCTTTGCTTCGATCTCTTTTCCCCAAGATACAATGGTCGTTACAAGTTTGTTGATAAAGAGGCATGCTACCCCTTTGCTCTCACTACGGAAAACATTCTCAATGTCAAAAGATCGATGGATGAATCTCGTTGCACAATCCCCTCCAAATTTAATGGCTCATTCAAAGGTGTACTTTCGGAAAACGCTCGGTCCATGTACCGTTCTGTGGACTGGATAGCTTGGTTGGTCTACGTTGTTCCGACAATAATTGCTCCTCTGTTTCTTGCTAAAGAAACCAGGATTGCGGTTGTTTCTCTTGCTCGTGGAATAAAAATCAGTCTGCTGTCGTGATCGAGGCTATATACTTAATATATGACTCTATCTACACTTCTTAAATCTTCCATTTGATAATCCTAAATATAATTCTTATTGGTACTTTATATTAAATACTGATCATTTACTTTATGTACAGGCTTGATCTCATATCATCCTTCATACAAGTATAAGGCATACATTTAAATAATAACATGAATATGAAAACATATGAAGGTTACATCAGCCACGTTCAGGTGCCACAGCTATCTTTAATAAGAACAACATTTTCCCCTGAATGTTGTGCTACAAGACATACACAGTTTAAGAATGAATGTTATTGTTATTGTTATTGACATCTCATTATGGTCTTTCTATATGGGATCATTACATCCGAGTATTATCTGGCTAAATCTACCCACAACCGTCATCAGCCCATCTGTGATCAATGTCTGAAATAATGTGTATATAAAGACCCCCTTTTATTTGTTTAATAAAGCCTTAGTTTATTTTTGCAGTTTGATAATTTCACTTTGTTAAATTTTACATTTTATTCTTAATTCGCTATTATCACTCTCGAATTTCTCATCTGCAATGGTCGATCTCGTCTGCTGAGGTTCAAGAAATTGATGGGTACTTAATTTATTGATTTACGAGCAACTATATAATATTCAAATTACCTAACTGTTATTTTCTATTTAGGTCCTTCGAAACATGGTTCAAGTATCTTGACACCTGTCTTGCCAATGATACGATTTCCAGGACTGTTTTCAGGCCAACCCTCATCAGCTTCACCACATACCCTACATGATCCGAAGAATGGGGTAAGCTACTAATTACTTAATCCTTATTCGATCATATACTAACCAACTTCTATAGTCCATTGCGGTGTTATTCTGCTAAGTCCCTTGAACGGTCGATTGGTACATACAAAAAACGTATCCGGTCTTCTCTTCATCCTGGTATTAATGCTGGCAACATTATGGAAACCAAGGAAATATTTAAATTCTTCAATGCATCCGGTATTTTTGACTTCTCTGCGTTAACGGCATCCCCTGACAGCAACGAGAAGAACTTCGAGCAGCATCCTCAAGATGCCACCTATCCTCAACTCTGGTCCCCTTTTGATGATTCTTTTACTAAGGTTGGTGTGCTCTTGCAGGGTTCTTCGGATGTCCTCATTTGTGGTCTGTATCGCACAATCCCTTGGTGTCGTGCGTTGATGGGTTGTATGACAAGGCTGACTGGCATGAGGCAACGAGTTGTATTGACGTTTCATCAACAACAACACCTTCGAATTTCGACAAGGTTATTCCATGAAAATCAAGTCTACATTTCGGAGTTGTACAAGAAGAAGAATAGGTCATGCTCTCGTGGTGGTGAATTCGTCATGTTCGAAGCGATACATAAGAACAATTAAGTATATGTTTTTGCTATCGCCGTATTGCATTTATTGACACTCTTCAAATTTAGTCTATTCGTGCCAGTTAAAAACTGGTTCGTTTGTAAGATTCTGTTCTTTTTCCGTTTCCAATTCTTCGCCAATGAACCAGGGTCCCATTATGTGTATGGTGAATTGGCAAAAACACATGGCGTGTCTCCTATCTCAAAGTCTATCCCACGGATTCAGCTCTTTGGTGATAGCGAGCAAAAATTCGTTGTATTTGACGCCAGGGATATTGTATCTTCTGTTGGATTGCTAAATTCCTCAGACAATTCAGCATACAAGTATGTCATCAAAACTGGTGATGCGTTTGCGAAAGACATGTCAAGTTCTGCCGGAAAGATTGGGACTCTGGAGTAAAGAGCTATTTTTTTTTTCTTTTTTTTTTTTGAATGTAGTAAAGGCTTTTCAACATCCGAAAAAAAAATTATCGCTTCATTGTGTCACACAAAATAACAGTATTTTCTTCAAACATCATCTTTGCCATCACCAAGGAACATATTTATCATTTTTTTTTCATAACACAACTTCCAATATAACATATTATCTTTATATAACAATTTTTTACAATTTTTATGTCATTTGCGTTTTTTTGATTTTGCGGTCCAAGTCTAAATGTTACTTGGACCTCTGGTAGAGGTAATTAGCTAAAATTGGACCGCAACCTCCGGTCCCGGTCTAAATTGTAAATTTACCACGACTAAGTTTTACGGTGATTGAAAGGTTGGAAATATTGATTTGAAGTTGTTTGGAGACAGCCTATGAAGTCGCAGCCGGAGGCTCAATGTCATCAACCTTGAAAAAGGGTAAAAAAGTTTAAACCTTTTTTATGTAATAAGTGGAATTACTTGTAATTTAGAATATATATATTAAAGTATACTCTTAAGATGCGTGACCCTTTTTAAAAATAATTTATGTATTGAAAGGCTTGAACTATTGATCTGAAGCTGTTTAGAGCCGGCCTATAAAATCGCAGCCGGAGGCCCAATATTACTTCTGTGGTATTTGACAAAATATTACATAGAAAAGTAATGAGATAAAAGTATATTTTTATTAGGGGTAAAAATAGACTAAAAGAACTCTGCTGCTATGAAATAATTGATCCTTTTTATATTGCACAACTCTCCTGAGTTTTAATGATGAGTCAACCTTTCTGGTTTTGGAATAGATCTATACTTTGTTTCCCGCCTTGGGTTAAATGGATACTACTCATTAGAATTGTTTCCAGATAACGTTGTCCCATATCAGTGGATCGGGAGCATGAGTATGCTAATAAATCTTTAGTATTACGAGACACTTATTTATCAGATCATGCAACGGTTACTGTAAAAGATGCATACTTGTTTGTCAAGTGTAATTGGCAATAGAACATAATAGTTGATCATTTATTCATTATCTTTGTAATGAATAAATTACGATCCCAAATATAAAATGTCTTATCGATATTTGTATATTTGGTTGTAGAAGCTAGGTATCCATTAATTCATACACTATTTCTTTATACTCTTTATCAGCAGTATAATTATATCAATATATAAGTAAATGAACCATTTATATTAATAGCTGTTCTATTCTCTCTCTGGGTAGCTAATCCATTGAGAGAACTATTAATATTAAGTTTCTCTTTCTTATAATTCTTGATTGATCTGAGAAGTTTCTCTTCTCGATCGGTGATATCGTAACTCAGTGGTATAGCATTCTGTATCCAACTGTCATTCGTATATCGTATTTAGGCCAATCATGCAATCTTTTATATAGAAGTATGTACTCGAAGTAGGAGAAGTTGTATAGCAGTATACAGGCGTATGCTGATATGCAACATCAAGGTTGTTTTAATTTCATAGTTTATTTATTTAAACGATTTGCTTAATTATTCTTAAGTGAATCGTACCCAAATACGACAACTTCCACTGAAAAATTTTCTTCAAAAGAAAAAAAAAATCCCCCCACATAAAAAAAATCTGGCTATGAATAAATTTCCTTTTATATTACTTGTACTAGTCGGAGATGAATGCTCAAAAATGTCACAAAACACGTTAGGAACTACTGAAAAGCAGATGCACTCTAAGCAAAGCTTTGTAACCTTGGTATTCTTGACTCTCAAAGCCATCTTGAAGGCACCATTGGCACATCGACTTGCCTGTTGGTCTTGAATGCATGTTCACCAGGTTTAGTAAGTCTTGCAGTCTTAAATTATCATTGCGATTAATGATACGTTCTAAAATTAAACGTGTATTAATAAATGAACATGCGTATTATATGATTTAATTTTACCTGCTTCTGGTAATTTCGGCTCACCAGGAGGACCCTCGATCTTTTCTTGGCTGCTGTTCAGTTGATCCGATACTTGGTCTTCTTTGTATTCAATTTCCTCTCCTTCATCGTCAACGTCTTCACCTTCGTTGATGGGAGCCCAATATTCCTCACCGTCGAAAATCTCATCATCATTATCGCCAGCCTCATCGTCATCATTGCCAGCCTCATCATCAGACTTTCCTTCTTGATTATCAGACTCATCGTCTTCGGCATTAGCGTGCTGCTCGGGGAGTGTTGGATCAGGTCTCTTTGGGAGATCAATCGCATTTTCATTTAAAATAGCCGTACCATTTTCATCAACCTCAAGAAATCGCGGAGCCATTTCGTTAAGCCTTTGGAATTTTTCTTTTGTCAGACGTACGGTTACCACCCTTCTTGCTTGCTTATATAATCTATTGTGTTTTAAAAGATCTTTTTTCTCTTCGTCTGTCCAATCGTCTCTGGACGCAGACCCGTACTTTTTAATCAACTCCTTGATAAAGTCAGCTCTTGCATTAAAAAGATTTGTCACCTTTTCATCGCCATCGATACCATCACGTATCTCTTCAACTGTTAATTTGTAACGACTGATATCCTTAATATGGAACATTGCAGGTCTTAAAAGTGGATCAACGGTATGGCCTTGAGCTGCTTCACCTGTGGTTACAAGAGTAGTCATATCAAGACGTTCAAATCTACCGGCATACGATTTTTTTAAAGTATAGGATGCAGGAGTATGACCCATCAATGTTGAGGCGGTACCGTTGGAGAGATTGTCATTAATAATTTGCGCAAAATTTCTTCTGAAGGAATACAATGTACCGCTAACTAAAGAAGAAAAAGTTTTTTTTTGTTAGTAAAATAACGGTTATGTAAAATATGTTTATAAGCTTACTGTTGAGACTAGAATTGGCTATTCTTCGGGATGTGGTGTGCTCGGCACTGTCACTCGTCCATGGGGAGACCTCTTCACTACTGTTTACATGAAAATGTTAGTCAGTTTAAGTTATAGATAAATAGTCCCAGTATACTTACAACAAACTGTTTATAAAAACAGGCTCCTCTAACCTATCCTCTTTGAGTTCAAGTAAAGCCAAATTACCCTGGTACCACTCTTCAGGAGAGTTAGGGATAGGAATATTTCTCCTGAATGCCAATGCGCAAATAAAAAGAGCAAAATCTCCATTACGTTCGTAATCAACGCCATCAATGACAGCCGAAGTGAAGGTTTTTTTGAATGTTCGATTGCTTTCAGAAAAGTACCTGCCTCGACCTTTAAGATGCGGCAATTGAATAACCACGTTGATCTTGTAGCCACGGTCATCTCTTCCTTGTGTCCAGATCTGTACATGCTAAAAAACAAGAGATGGTTCAATAAAAAATGATTATATTGTTTTTTATATGTTGTAAATTTCCTGTTACCTTCCACTGCATATAGTTTGCATCTTTATGCTTGACAGATTTAGATAGACTTGAAGGTCTTCCACCAGAATAAAGAACGATCAAAAAAAAAGATTATCACTTGAAATTCGAAAGTGATGTTACCGGAGATTGAGGCTTCCTTCAAGCAATTGTTGATGATGATTAACACTTCTGGCAAACCAAAGATGGCCTGTGGCTTTTCTTTTCTCCCGAAATATCCAATTTTAGAAAGTTGGTAAATGTACTGATGTACAACAAAGGCGAGGTTAGGTTCAAGTTCTAGGCTGGGATTATTAACTTTGGCCTGCATTACAGAATAAAAATTTGTTAGATTCTTCCAGCAACAATTATCATGGATGACTTACGAGACCAACTAAATGTGTGATTTCTCTAAACATTGTACCAAGCTGAATCTTGTCTTCAACTCGACCTATTCCGGTAATAGAGCGATAAATAACATAATTCTTTAACACATCTGTAAAAACCATGATTAGTTGTATGTTGTTTTAAGCAATAAATAATGCTATTACCAATATTGAATGAAAATCTAGTGAATGGTTCCAAAGGGGGTTCTGGAGGTACTTGTTCACTTCTTTCGGCATTTTTATCTTCAACAAATTGTCTATAGAGTGCATCCGGAGTTCAATAGTATAATTTTTTTTAAGCAGGCAGGTACTTTCCAATCAATCCAACCTTTTTTTTTCATTATTAAATTTTTTTTTGCTCACTATTATACGTTTTAAATGATAATTAAAAGAGTTCCACACAATGTTTTTGTGAGAAAACCAAGACAAATCCCCATTTTTACAAAGTGATTTTAGGTGAGGGGGCTTCAACTTGTCACATACAGCCAAAATTTGAACCAATTTATTTATTTTAGCCAATAGGATTGCTCCGGATATTTAATTCACCGTTTCTGACATTTAAACTAAAGCATCTGCCGCCAAAAATCTAATTACCGCCAGCTGACATACTTAAGCTGGCAAGAACTGGTGCGATGTACTTAGATGATTAAGTTTACAAACAAATTTAGACTTGTAATTAATATTCTCTTTGCCCAAAATTAATAAAAAAATGCCGTTATTCATTTCAGGTTTTTAAAGAAAGAAAAAATTGTTAAAACGCAACGATCTCTTATCGGATGTTCTTATTGACGGACAAAGGCTTTAGAATGTTCACTAGCATTTTTGTACTGATTATAATTCTTTGAAATTTAAGAATCTTGTAGCTTATTATGTTTTTATGCTGTAATATTAAGCGCGTTATACTAAAGTAAGCAGAAGGCAAATGTCCTTTCTTGGAAACATTTATGACACTGATCATCAAATCTAAAAGAATTGAATCACTGCGTTACATAATCTGATTAAATTTTTATGCTGAAGAAACTCTTCAAAATGTTCCCCGTGATTTTGATACTAATTAGAATCTTTTTAAAATTGATATATACATTAAAAATATTATTTTGAATCTGTTCTTGCCACCGCCAACAAAAAAAAAGTACATAAAGAATGAGAAATATGTCTTTCAATATTCCATAGCTTAAAAGACCAACTGTAACATAGGTCACTCCAATCCGAAGGCTGATATAAATAATTTTTTTTTAAAATGCTCCTCGTCATTTTGATACTAAGTAGAATCCTTGTTAATTGAAGATGTAGCTTATAATATATGTTTTAAATTTGTATTAGTCAACGCCAGTTGCAAGAAATATCCAAACAAGGTGCAAACTCCTTTTTAAGTGTCAATAACTGTCCCCCAAAATCTTTTATATTTTAAACGCAGCAAGGTTTAGCTGCTGTATGGGAAAAATCTTTGAAGTACTTGCCATCATTTTTGTATTAAGTATATTCTCTTTTAATTAAAAGAGTTTATTTGTAAATATATGGATATGTTATATTAGTCTGCGCCAATTGATAAATTGACTGAAAGATTAGTAATATTATATCAAAGTTCCATACGAAACTCTATAGGAGTTTGAATCATATAATTTTTAAGGTTTGGGATTGAGTGTTTAATTTTTGACGTTTTGCAAAGTTTTTATCATCTATCAAAACAAACAATAACATATCCAATGTCTAAATCAAGAAAAAGAATGAACCAAGGAAAAAAAGTTAGAGCTGCAACGTTAGAGAAAGCTGCAATGCTTGCTGCTGAGGCTGCTGAGGCTGCTGTGAGAGAGTTCAGCGATGTTGAAATTCAACATTCCGAAGATGTTCAAGGTGATGTCGAAGTTATGCCCATCTCGTGGAAAAACTCTAGTGAGACCACTGGTGCGCAGAGCTACACGCGTAAAATTAAATACGCACGCGAAACTATCAGTCGAAAGAAGTCTGCTTGGATAAAAGCCGCTGTGGGCACACGTTCCTTGCCCGATTTTTTCAAGTTGACAAAACAACTTGCACCCATTATGCAGACGAAAAAGAGGCCACACAAGTCCAGATTTCCTGATGAAGCAACATTGGAAAGAATCAATACAATGCTGCCACTCATTGATCCAAAATTGGTTCTTTGTAATGCATCTATTGGAGAAGAACATATGGAAGGTGTCACTCAGTATCTGAAATACAAGATCGTGAAGGAAATGATGGTGCTTCTTTTGGCGGGTGAAGCGTATTCTGATGCAGCAGATCGTGTGGTCAACAACTGCTGGCACGATCCATCAAAATTTTACCGTTTCCGCGTAGCCCTTATTTGGTTGGGGCTTTACTTGGAGACCGGAAGTATCCCTCTCCACCAACAAGGAACGCATGCGAAGAGGAGATCAATCCTGAGTGATCCTTTTGTGAAAGAGAAATGCGTGGAGTGCATTCGTGGCCAGAAAACCCCATTTACAAGTATCCCGGCTCTTCGACTTTATTTAAGACAGCACGTCTTACCGGAGGTCTTGGCCATGACCACGGAAGTACAGGTTGATGCAGATGTGATTGTAAATGATGAAGTACATCCTCTGTCAAATATGCTTTGTCAACTCACCTGAAGTCATGGGGGTTTGAATACAAGACAGGTAAATACAAGATGCAATTAATTAATAGTTATTAATGGTTAAACTTTAATGTTTTTTTGTGGTATGTGCATAGGAAAAGATCAATGCTACTTTGATGGACATGAACGGCCGGACGTCATTTCCTATCGTATTAAGTGGGCCCAACAAATGATGGAATGGCACAAACGTATGGAAACCTATACACTCGACGATGAGAATTCAGAACCAGTTCAGCCCAACCTGAAGGAAAATGAAAAGAAGATGGTTTTAGTTACTCACGACGAATCAATATTTTATTCAAATGATTGTAAAGTCGCTCGTTGGTGTGCGAAGAACGAATCCATGATCATTCCTAAGAGCCAATTAAGATCTGTTATGGTTAGCTCGTTCATGTGTCCTTGCCATGGAACAATGAGAGGTACCGTCAATGGTATTGAAATAACTTCAAGAGTTATTTTTCTTCCTGGTAACAGTAACAGCAATGGTTATTGGACGAACATTGATTTAACTAATCAATTAAAAGATGTAATTCCTCCTTTTAATCAATTACATCCTGATTGTATTGGTATCTTTGCCTTTGACCAGAGCTCTAACCACAAAGTCATACCTGATGATGCTCTTGTTGTCTTAAAGACGAGTTCCGGTGTCACCGAGTATAAAGATACAAATAAGTATAGGTTTTTGGGATACCACTTTTACTGATAAGGAAGGTTGAGTGAAGGCCCAGCCCATGTACCGGACAGAGATGGTGAATCTGGAAGCCGTGAAGAAGATTGTTGCTACCGGAAGGGCAAAGCAGCAACCAATGTCCTTTAAAGACCTCCTGTATCAATACAGGCTTCCAAGAGTAAATATTTGAACTTAATACATGATATGAAAATCTAAGTTTCAATTATTTCATTAAATTTTGTAGGCAGGTGAGGTCTTCAGAGGTACGCTCATTTTGTTGAGGGAGCGCGACTTGTTGGACAAGAATGCTTCGCTGAGCAAGGTATGCCCTTCTGGTACAGTTCATGATCCTGCTGTTCGACCTGGCAGCTGTGCGGAGTACCTGGTCTCTCAGCAACCTGATTTTCTGGCGCAGAAGAATATGTTGGAGACTGTGATGTTCGAGGCTGGTCACCTCTTTACATTATACCCAAAGTATCACTGTGAGACTAACTGGATTGAAAGACATTGGGGTGCAGCCAAAAGATATTCACGTATGATGAGTGATTACTCCTTTTATACTCTGACGTCTAGAATCCATGAGTTTCTGGACAATGATGAGGTTGTGCACGGTCCTAAAATCAATAGACGGTATTATAACCGTGCCTATAGATGTATCGATGCGTATAGCAAGTGTAAAGATGTCATGGAGGCTGATGAGATTATCAGAAAGCTTTCCAAAGAATATCGATCACACAGACGTGCTTTTATTCCATTAAAAAAAAACGAAAAAAAAAACCTTAGACTCCCCCCCCCCAAAAACAAAAATTAGACTCCCCCCAAAAATAAATAAACATCCTGAAATTTTTTTTCTTTAAAAAAAAACCTTCCCCCATATAAAATCTGGCTATGAATTTATTTCCTTTTCTATTGTTTGTACGAGTCCGAGTTAAATCTTTCAAAATGTCACAAAATTGATTTTGCTGTTGAACTCCGGATGCACTCTAATCCTTTTTATTTTGTTACAGGACAAGTGATGAAAATGGAAGTGGTGACACAGAAATAACGAAAAGTTTAGTGAAATTTTAAAAATTCTTTAGACATTGGGTGGTCTAATGGAGATATAGTTCTATCTCTTTATTTCTTATGTAAGTGTACTGTATTAATTTTGTCTAATACCAAATAAACATTGACTATTAAAATGTGATGACATTTGATTACAGAAATCATTATACAAGAAAAAAAAGGGGGGCGAGAGACTACATACCTGATATTGCGTACAATCAGGGATACGCCCTTTTTTTATTCTGCATTACTCCTTTTGTAAAAAAAAGTTGATTGTCTGTGCAAATTCAAAAAAAAGGAAATCTCGGTAAAAACCCAAATATAGCAAAAGACGGCTTCCCGAATCCTGCTGTACACATCTTTAAATTACTCCTCACGCAGTTCCAAAATACATGTGGGAGACACTTTGACTATTCTGGCTTTGCGGTCGGTAATAGTAATGGAGTTGGGGAGGTGTCAATCTTCACGAGTTGCCATCTTTTTCTCTTTTTTTTTACTATTGCTCATGACATGTTTTAGTGTTCTTAATGGAGAATGGGGGTGCCATGGCTAATGAGTCTTTTGCAAGAGTGCCACTACTTTATGACGTTTGTTTACTTGATTATACTTTTCATTTGTTTATACCATGTTATAGTGAAGGTGTCTTTGAACAAGGAAAAAAACGGATAATAGTAAAATGAGGTTACCACAAAAAACCACTTTCCAATATCTTTAAAAAAGGCACTCGATGTATAACAAAAAAAAATTATGCGCACCAAGATCGACGCTGTGCACGTAATGATTGGAAAAAAAAAGAGTGTTTATGCAGTGCGATATACCCCTTCTCCTAAACGTATCGCACGTAAAGATAAATCATGCAAAATACTTTTATTGAAAATTGAAGTGATTCATTGTTTTATAATCGGTATAAAAGCAATTGAATTGGATTACCTTTATTTCCTTCTTTATTATTATCTTTTAATAAATTCTATTTCTTTCAAAACAAAATCTATTTACTCCAATGCCATTCAACAGTGGTAAGACCTTTTTTTAATTGGAAAGAATGAAATATGTATCCCAATTTTAATCCTCTTTTTTCCCCGTAGCTATTCCTACCAAGTCTTTTTCTAGCAAGAGAGTTCATACTGGATCTTCAAGCAACAAGGTAAAGTTAACCACGAGCAAGAAGTCATGTTCGAAAAACATGAATTCAACGTTGGCAACACGCCATCCACCTCCATGTCCAATTCGGCCATGACAACAAGATCACCTATGCTACCTATGCCTCATGCAAATAGGATGCCCGTCCTTTCGGATGATAATGATGCTATGGATATATGCCAAGAGCAATCTACGAAAAGAGCTATCCCCATGCCAGAGTCACCAATTGCTAAAAGACAAAAGGCAACCATGCGAACACCACCTGTCGGCACTGTTTTTGGAAAGGCCTTGTAGGGAAGCCTTAATCAGGGCATGGTGCCTCGTCTGGATGTTTTTTGCGCTGCTCTTTCTTTAAACAAACAAGCACACACCCTTGTTTTGCGTTATTACGTATCTGACATTTCGTCCATGTTGCAGTCCAGCAGAACGTACGTCGCCGTGGATCTGGTGGAAATATTCCATTTTGAAGATGCCTTCTCCATATTGAAACTGGCAGAAAGAGATGACAGCGTTGAGGTCCGGGTCAAGATCAGAAATGTTCAGGTGGATAACCGCATCCAGTACTTTTGCTTGGTCTTTCCTGTTCCTGACGACCGACGTTTGGCATTCGCTCAAGCCATGGTGAATGGTAGGGTCCAAAACCCATTCACAAAGGTTGGTATATGGCGTACAAATGTGTAGTATATGCCAACCTGATGATGGATGGTTGAGGAAAGGGAAGCTACTCACTTTCATCAATTACTCCACCGGGCCTTTTTCGATACTTTTCGTATCATCCCATAAATTGGAGCTGATGGTAAGTTTGTTGTAGTGAAGGGCAAGCTGCTCTTTGCCCATATTCCTCCAGGTTGTCAAGAATAGTTTTTTTATAGTAAACAATCTCTTTTTCATTTATAAATAATAAACAATCCTTTTTCTGAGTGATGCTCCGGTGAGTATTTAATAAAATCTTAAAAAAAAAATTTCTTTTTCTTTTTATAAACCTAAAACCCACTACACATTACTACGAATACCTGGCTCTTTTAAACTGTAAAGCAGCTCGTTAGAACTGCCGATTTATAAAGACATGGAATCATTTCAACGATGCATCAGTTACGACGCAAATAACCAGACATACGGGGAACCTTTATTAGCATTGAGGGATTTTTTGCTGGCGACCGGTGGAGTGAATGTTTGTTTTCTAATTGTCGACCGGCCGATTGACTGGTCGTCATTTAAATCTTGACCGGCAGGTGGGCCGGTTGTTATTTAGACTCCATCACCAACAAGTAATGATACCAACACAAAATATTCGTCATCTCATAACCCGCCCTCTTTCGTACAGTCAAAGTAGCTTGCAACTGGTTCAAATGGGACGTAAACATTTGCAAGTTATCCGCCTGCAACAACGTCTCAAAGGCATCTTTTGTTCCAATTCTTTTTGTTACAGTATCCAACAAGGCAGCACGATTCGCCAACACAGAGAAGTAAGCGTCAGTCGTATTCTTACGCATTATTGTCACGAGCTTGATCGTCACAAGATGCATCTCCGCGTCATCCATGACATTAGAGACTTTAGGGGACTAGATTTTCAATAATTTTTACACTTTTTTTTTTTGGTAATAAATATTGATGTCATCGTAGATTTGCACTTTCCTAATAAAGCGTAACATATAATCCAATAACGTCAGACATTTATGAATCAGCGACTTAAATATAATGATAACATGAACTCATGGCATTACTCTCTTTTTCTTCTCAAATAATCTTTAAAACAATACATAAAAATGTCTGAATATATCATTAACATGTGGAGAAATAATTTAACCAGTGCCTACAACCGGCTACGTGAAGTAGAGGAACAGACTCTAGAAGAATTCGAAGACGAATATGAGGACGAATATGAGGACGATTTCGAGGACGGTTTCGAGGAAGATATGCCATCCACGATGTAGAATGATGGTCAACGTCTATATATCCAGTCCCTCACTGACGAGATGAGTATCCATCTATTTAGATTTACGTATCAGCAAATACAATCTGTAGTGATCAGCATGCATCTTACTGAGAGGATTACCTGTCGTGCAAATACATCCCAACAATTTTATTGGGATACCATTGAGGCATTTGCTATCATGCTTCGTAGGCTTGCCTATCCGTCTGGATTGATTGATCTTGAACTCCTTTTTGGTATAAGCTACTCGACTATTTGTACGATATTCAATGAAATGATTGTATTATTGTATTCGAAGTAAAACGAAGGTATACGTCTTACAAGAAATCATTTACGACCTTAAAACTTGAGACGATTCAGCGAAGCTATCATTCAGAAAGGCTCGCCTTATACTGAGGTCGTTGGATTTATAGATGGAACTTTGAATGCTGTGTGTAGACCTGGTGAAAATCAAGGTAGTGTATACAACGGTCATGTGAGAGGGCACGGGTTGAAATACCAAGCAGTTGTAACTCCTGACGGTATCACTGTTAGCCTGTGTGGACCATTTGCTGGGGCGATTCATGACATGAACATGTTGGATAGCTCAGATATCATTAGCGAATTAGATGAAATCTTGGTCTGTAAAGATATTGGCAATAAATTCGACGCTCTGTATGGTGATCCCGCATATCGGCCATCATCTTGCCTTATTAGACCTTTTTTGACTGGTTTGGCTCTAACAGATAATCAACGTACAACAAACGAAATGATGTCCTCAGTCAGGGAATGTGTGGAGTGGGAGTTTGGGCATGTCGCAACTCTGTTTGCTTTCGTCAGATATAGACCAGGACAAAAGGTGTTTCTAAGTCGCGTTGGAATGTTCTATGTTGTTTCAACCCTTTTGAAAAATATACATACCTCTATTAATAATGGAAATCAAACCAGCTTTTACTTTGGACTATCACCTCCTACGTTACAACAATATATCGACAGTATATCTAATATTTAATAAATTTATTTAAGTCGTTTTGTTTAAGTTGATACATTTTTTGACGTATTTGTTGAGGTGGTTTTGGGGGGTAAGGATAGACAACCTGCGGAGGGTATTGCTGAGCGTTGGCTTGAGACGATATTGCTTTATTTACAGATGTCAACAAGTTATCTTCAAAGATCTTTTGATTTATCTTAATGTCATCTGCAAATTTCTTTTGGCTTGCCTCTACAGCCGCAATTGTCTCCTCTTTGCCTTTGTTGATCAATCTTTTAACATCGCTCAAAAAAGCACGCTGGTATTGTATCTGCTTTTCCGATTCAGCAAAAGCAAAAGCATACTCATTCTTTCGTGCTTCCTCTACTGCACGCTTTCTATCAAAATGTTTTTGTTGTGTGAGACGTTCCATCTTGTTGTTATCGTCTTCGATCACATACATCTCCTCTCTTGCCTCTGGCTGCTGAGATATCTGTGGGTGCTTTTCTTTAATCTCACGTTTAGTTGCCTTTATTTTTTTGTTCACTCCTTTGTAACGACTGAGAGCATAACTCTGCCTGGGCTTCTCTTTTTTTTATGCGGGCAGAGCTGGCCTGAGCATCTTCTTCATCCTTGTTCGTCTCGACTTCAGTCATCTTAAGTTTAATCGATGGAAATCATTAAAACCTTGTAGTATATCAAATTTTTAAATTAATTACCTCATCATCCATTGAGCTCAGTCGATTCTCGAGAGTCGTTTCAGAATCATTTGTACCACTGGCAAGTCGATCCGCATTTTTCTTTTCTATTATTTCTTTTCTTGCTTTCTTCAAATAGTTTCTTAATGAAGTCAAACCAAGAGACCTCAAATGAGGGTCTCCTTTGTTGACTTCTTGGAGAACTAAATCCCATGCTACTGTTACATTGTTTTTTTTTTGTCAAAAGGACGATGAGATATCCTGGCCTCAACGGCTGCCAATTTTCTACTTTCTGACCATTGACCACGTTTCTCAGTAGACTTCGACCCAGTCAATTTACCTTCTTGAATAAAATTGATGTTGCTGTCATTGTTGCTATCATTATTGCTGTTTATATTGTTGTCTTTGTTACTGTTGCTACTGCTGTAGCCGGAATTGTTAGGTTCTGTGCTTTGTCGGGACATGTTTTATGTTTATTAAATGATAAAAGTAAGAAAAGACGACTAAAATCATGAAATTATAGACTCATAATAATGCAAAAATCGGTGCTAAAATAATGTAATATTAACAGTTACAATTGGCTTATTTCAAAGAAAGATTAGTGAAAGCGTTTTCACTAATAGTGTAAAAATTGATGAAAACTTACACTATCTTGTGCAACATCGGATTTCAAAATCGTGAAATTTACTTATTAGTACAGTGAAAATTAATCCCCTAAAGTCTCTAATAATAGCAATGGTGCTAGCTGAATTCCATTTTGAGTGCGTGTATGTGGTATCCGAAACTTAAAAGTGGTAGCAGTCTCCGTAACATCAGCAGTGGCAGTAGCAGGTACAGCCGGGGAAACGGCGGCAGCAGCAAGAACGAGGACAGGAACCTCCTGTTTTTCTGAAACAGTAGTATCATGCGACGGTTGATACCATAGGCTACACGATTCGGTGTCACTTCAAAAATTGGTGATTGATAGGGTTTTTGTTGTTGTTTTGATTGTTCAATTTAAAAAAAATTAAGGTAAGGAAACAGTAAAAAAATTTTATTCTGTATTTTGGCATTTTAGTAGTCCATTTTAGGACCGTTTATTTCTGGAGGCTTCACATTCGATGCAAACAAATTTTTCATTTTTAAGCAGTAGATTAATAATAGATTTATAATAAAAAAATATGACAACATTATTTTTGACAGAATTCAATTTAGGAAAAAAATATTGATAAAAAAATATTTAAAAAAAAAAAAAAAAACGGAGCTTGTCCATATTAGTACATCTCCTATTTAAGATCTCAATATATTTTGTTTCATGTCAGCAGCCTAAATCATACAAATCTGAAAATTCTGGTCCGTTATCCGTCAAGATCCAATAGGTTTGGGTACTCTTGTCCGTTATCCCTCAAAATCCTTTGATTTCAGGGTACTCCGGTCCGTTATCCCTGAAAATCCGTTGACTTCAGGGTAATCCGGTCCGTTATCCCTGAGAATCCGTTGACTTCAGGGCACTCCGGTCCGCTATCCGTTGTTATGCGATACTTCAGGGAATTCTGGTCCGTTATCAATACAGATCCGACACTTACGGGTTCACTGATTACATTTAACTAACAACCAAAATAGATTATAAGCAGTTGGAAACGGTTCAAAAATGGTTCAACCATTCTAAGCTTGTCTGGGAATTATCTTAGTTAATTTCACATATAAGATAAAACGCAAATCATATCGGAACGTCCTTAAACGTGCGTTGTATTTCAAAAACATATATACGGTGACCTCTAAACTATCCTAACTGGTTGAGGTTATTGTATTTGGACATCAATGATATCATCGGGTCGTGTGTTATTCTACACAACGCATGTAGGGCAAGAGAGGAGGTAGGATTCGATGGTGTGGTTCTAGAACCTGCTGGTCTTCAAGTTGGAGAGCAGGTTGAAATAAGTTTTATAGGTAACATTGCCCGCTTGCGCATCTTTAATGCAGCTTTTCCTTAAATATGTTAAGTATTAAATTATTTTTAAAAAAACACGTTTATTATTGAAAACAAAAGCAAACTATATTTTAGTCGATGTTATGAAGTTTATATTCATCGGACGAAGGACAAGTGACATCAAGTAAGTCTGACGGAATAGGAAAAACCGTCGTAACATTGACATCGATCGTCATCTCATTCGCAGAGGGGGTGGAGGTAGTGTCGTTGAGGTGGGTGCTGTTGGAAAAGGTGCTGCTGACGACGATGTTGCTGGTGTTGGTGTTGTTGGCGTCGGTCCTGTTGTAGGCACTGGTGCTGCTGGCAGAAGGACTGTTGAACTGATAGTCATAGACTTCAGGAATTCCATTGACATCAGGGCGGAAATAGTGGCTGATGTTGTTGGTGTAATGCTTGCCACCGTTTTCAAACGCATTGTAGCTGGTGCTACGGCTGCTGCTGCTACCGTTGTTGTTTTTGGGACAGTCGACGTTGTGATAGGTGCTACGTCTGCTGCTGATACCATTGTTGTTGTTGGCATCGTCGAGGTTGTTGTAGACGCCATTTTTGTTGTTTTGGCACCGTTTTTGTTGTTGCTGTTGTTGCTTGAGCCGAAATCCCCTCTCATTACCCTCAGCATCTGGCGCTGGATATCCAGACTGGCCTACATCTGATCAGCGATGCGAGACTGCACCTGTTCCTGTCTCTCCAAGGACTCTAACGTCTCACCAAAAAACATTCTCGAACGAGCAAGGTAATTATTGAACGTTATACGCTCAGGCTCTCCGAGCTCAAAACAACGTGCCTCAATCTCATTCATTGAGGTAACCAGATACTCCATCGTTCGGTTGACGGCTCTACTTCTACTAGCAGCCCCACGAGTCACACCCTCGTCAGCACCATTGTCTTCGACGGTCCTTTCTTGTCTAGCACCGACAACTTGGCCACGAATATCGATCGTCTCTCTTGCAAGAGAGGTATACACAGTAGGTAGGATTACAGTGGGCACCTCACGGGTGGCGTTCTCCATTGTGACATGGTGAGCCCAGTTTTCAAATGGTGCCGTACCAGTCGCACTCAACCTGTCATTTCGATATCTGAAGGCAGCACATAGAGCAGACCACCTAGACTTTAAACCACTCAAAGGTATTTTTCCATTGGTGCTGGAGTTGGAGTTGAATGCGTGCAATATGACACGGTACAACTCATTTCGTTCGGCTAAAGTACGAGTGGAATACAACCGGTTGTTGTAATTAGACTACAATTCAATCAGAGCAAAGGTCCAGGCCGAATTCCAGTTGGAGCGAGTGTAGCTCGTATCTGAAATATCATAAGTGGCAGCAGCATCCGTGGCATCAGCAGTGGCATCAACAGTCGCACCCGGATAGCAGGGGAAACGGCGGCAGCAGCAGGAAAAACGACAGGAAACTCCTGTTCTTCTGAAACAGTAGTAGCATGCGACCGTTGCTACCATATGCTACACAATTCGGTGTCACTTCAATAAATTGGTGATTGATAGGGTTGTTGTTGTTGTTTTGATTGTTCATTTTAAAAAAATTAAGGTAAGGAAACAGTTATAAAATTTATTTTGTATTTTGGAATTTTAGTAGTCTATTTTAGGACCGTTTATTTTTGGAGGCTTCACGTTCAATGCTAACAGATTTTTCATTTTTAAGCAGTAGATTAATAATAAAAATATATGCAACATTATTTTTGACAGAATTCATTTTAGGAAAAAAATATTGGCAAAAAAACATTTTTTTTAAAAAAAAAAAAAAAAAAAAAAAAAAAAAAAAACGGAGCTTGTACACATTAGTACATCTCCTATTTAAGATCTTTATATATTTTGTTTCATGTCAGCAGCCTAAATCCTACAAATCTGAAAATTCTGGTTCGTTATCCGTCAAGATCCAATAGCTTTGCGTACTCTGGTCCGTTATCCCTCAAAATCCGTTGATTTCAGGGTACTCCGGTCCGTTATCCCTGAAAATCCGGGGACTTCAGGGTACTCCGGTCCGTTATCCCTACAGATCCGATACTTAAGGGTTCCCTGATTACATTAAACTAATGACCAAAATAGATTATAAGAAATTAGAAATGGTTCCGAAATGGGTCAAGTATTCTTAACTTCTATGGGAATTATCTGAGCTAATTTCACATATAAGGTAAGTAGCAAATCATATCAGAACATCCTTAAACGTGCGTTGAATTTTAAAAAGGTATAAACAGCGCCCTCCAAAGTATCGTAACCGTTTAAGACTTTCGTATTTTGTGAAATGACATCACATACTGATTCGTAGGGAGACTTTCCAAACATTTTTATTTTTCTGTTTTTTGTTATTATTAAGTTATGGATCCGGTTAACAGCGCTTCATAGGAAATATATAAGCTATTATCACTCTTATAAGATGTTAAACCCTTTTTTTCCATAACCTTTACTGAAACATTTTTATTCAAAACATGTAACCCATTTTGAGTCTACCACATTTTTGCTTAGTCCAATGCTGCTCTAATCGTATCATTGCTTTGGAGACTGGTTTTAGTAATTGTGTATTTAACAGAGCTAGAAACAGAATTAATCAAGACGACTTGTTCATCTTAGTAGGCCTGTGAGAAGTGGAGCGGGGCAAGAGCAGAACAGAATAATTATTAAGGTGAGGACCAAAGAAACAGGCATTATATCAATTAGTATTAACATATATAAAATGGATGAGAGTAGAAAAAGTTTAATTCAAAGAAAAAGAAAAAACAGATAAGATCTTGGATACAGAAATAGAATTAAATAGACATGACTACAGTACCCGAGGAGTGTGTGGTGACCTAGCAAGAATATAGCCATATTAGATCTGACAAAGGCTTATCCACGCTAATACCATTTGTGATATAAGCTTTACAATAAATGTCATAGTAAGAACTATAAGGATATTACATCGCAAGTCCAATATAGTACGTCTGAGAAATAATTCAAATATAGTTTAAAGCAAGGAGATTTAAAAAACTTCACATTTATTTGAACAAGACTAAAGTAGTACTATGTAATAATCGCATACATTTTTGGTTAATCTAGGATAACTTCAAGACAGCACTTGAGATATGAACACAGCCGACAGTCTTTTATATAAATACTGGTACATTTCGTTTATTATTAAAAGACAATCTTTTAAATAGTCTCAAACTACTCCGATAGTCTTTTTATAATTTTACTTTACCTTAAAACATAACGTTTAGTAAGGAGTAGGATACAAATTTGCCGCTGTGTATTCCAAGTATATATTCAAATATTTGAAAGGGTAATCCGGAGTTCAAAAAGGTAGTGGTAACACGATAGAAACCCAAAAAGCCCTCAATTCTATATTTTTAGAACATCGAAAGAAGTGAACATAGTGGCGGACTATGTGGTAAAAACCCGCAACATGTGGTAAAAACCCGCAACATTTGGTGGTAAAAACGTCTATTTTATACCACCGAATGTTGCGGAATTGTAGTTCATTTACCACCCGATGTGGTAAAACTCCAAAATTATACCACCAAATGTTGCGGGTTTTTGCTACATATTGCGGGTTTTTACCACCTATTGTTGCGGGTTTTTTCCGCATGTTGCGTAATTATACCACTCGTGGTACTTACTAAAATCCACCTGTCGCGTCTTTTTACCGCAATATAGCGTCCTTTTAGACAAAACGTAGTACATCACTTTTAATTATAATACTATTGATACTGATGGATCTTATACATTTGTGCAATCAAAAAATAAATTATATAAGAAAGAAGCAGGATTTAAATGAAAAAGTTTTTATTTTATTCAATGTTTATTTTGTATTTTACTTTAAAAATAAGGCAAAGGTTTTGCCGGCTGTCTAACATTGTCGTAAGTTGCCGTGGAGGAGGGAAAAGAGTAATACCCAATTTAAAAAGGAGAGAAGTTACTGTTTAAGCATTACTATAAAACAAAGAGAGAGTGAGTATCATACAGCAGTCTACTGTAGTTTTAGAGAATTAAAATTACGAGGGGGTTTGATGATATTTCAACTTTTTTTTTTCTTCCAATCATGTAGTTGAGTGTGTATTGGTGCTTAAGTGTGTAATTAAGTGTGTTTTTGTTTAAGAGTGAATAGACTTTTGAAAATTATTATTTATTGTAATGTTTTAAAATTTGTATTGTTATTTATATGGTTATTAAATGAGTGATATATATTTATATATTTGTCTGGGTTAATTATAGATTGTAGTAGTTGTATTGACTATGACGTGTAAAGTGTTTGTTCGGAATACTGAATCATATCAATAGCATCAATATTCACACCGAACTTTCTTTTAATTCTAACTGGTAGATCTGCGCCAAAAAAATATAGATCATCTGCTTTTCTTACTCGAGACATTGCTACATACATTTGACCATGAGATACCATGTCATCTAAGTGAATAGCCACAGAGTCGATTGTAATGCTTTGTGCCTTATGGATTGTTGTAGCAAAAGCAGGGACAATTGGAAACTGGGATCTCACATAGCTTGTGCCTGGAATAGATCTTGTAATTCTTTGAATCCAAAGTGTTTGGTGGCTACCGTCAGAGTTTTGCTTTAATAATAATACATTCTCTTCGTCTACTTCTGATATTGTTGCCAAAGTACCATTTACCCAGCCTTGGGAAACCCGCAAGTTTTGAAGGAGCATGACCGGCATGTCGATTTTTAATTGTAATTCTTCAAGAAGTCTTGTTTCTTTTAGAGCCCTAGCAGCTGATTTTCTATTACCGCCATTGAAAGTATCGATTGATGGAATTGACATTGATTCGCCTGCAAGATTACAAAACTCCTTAATGTTTGCTCTGTCGACATTTTTTCTAGTTGTGTAGAGGCGCAAACAGTTGGCAGGAAGGTCACTTTTTAATACTGTCCGGGAATTGATGAACTTAATCACTTCTTCGTCATAATTACATACACGGACTTTGTTTAGAACATTGATAAGAACTTGATCAACTTGGCGAATTGGTGTGTACAGTGTAAACTTGGTCGAATAGTTGTATACAGCTGATTCCCAGATTAAACCTTCATTGATACATACGGGTAACAACTGTGCGACATCCCCAAAAAAAACTGTTTTTATGCCACCCATTGCTGCTGCTCTTTGTGTTGTTCTAATCAAAGCGTCATTCATGATATTCAAAAGCTGATTACTGATCATAGAAAACTCGTCTACTAATAGCATAACTTTTGGGTAAAGTTTTATCATTTCATCTAGCTTCACATAGTTGGGTTCCTGCGACGAAGGCCCCATTCCAAAAAAACGATGGATAGTAATTCCGCTTACATTGAATGCAGCAACCCCAGTAGGAGCCATTTTGAATATCTATTAATAAAAAGTTATTTTAGAGCTGTGGATCAAAAGATAAATACGCTATCACTTTACCTTGTATCCTTTTATCTTGTAATGTCTTTCAAACATCTTGAGCAAGTAGGATTTACCGGTACCAGCCGCACCAGACACAAATGTGACAGAGTTGTGAGCCAGCTCAACATTTACTCTATCAAAGATGCTTTTTTGAGTTTCATTAGCATTGGTGTACATAATTTCGAGTTCAGATTGAGTAACGTCTAGGCCTCTTTCAAAATCGTTCACGTCAGATAAGTTGCTAATATCGTAAGATCGATTAATATGAATACCGCCATTTTCAGGGCCGAGTGAAACCAAATGCTCAAAGTAATCTATAATAATAAGCTATTAGTTGACTTTTTTTTATTTTTGCGGTATGTATATTATTACCTCTCCAGGATGCATAGCTACCCTTTTTTGCGATAAAAGTAGTTCTAAATATAGGCTTATTGAGGACGATTTGTTGATAGTAGTATTTTTCGCCATTGTTCTCAGACTGATTAAATGTTCGCCAGAATGCTTGTTTCTTGCGTAAAACGTATTTGGTTTTTTTGGAGAATATAAACATGGGTAAAGGATCTGGGAAAAAGAAACGTTCAAACAGACCACCATTTGATCTATCAGTTATATTGCCTTCATATGGGGATTCGCGATAAAAGCTATAAAATTGGGTGATAGTCAAGTTGCGGCCACCATTGCGCTGTTCATATTTTTCTATAATACGTTTTAGCTTTTGATATCTTATTTAAATTTACATAAGAAAACTTACCAACATGAGTCCGAGTAAAAATCATGGCACTGTTAGGATCAAGGTCTTTGATATCACGTCGTAATAGTCTTCGCTCATCACCGGGCAAACTGGTATGTATAAAATTTACCACTCTTGAGGTTTGATGTTTATGCCATCCCATAATGTCGTATACAGCTTCTACAGCGCCAACAATTCTGTTCTTGAAGTGCTCTTGTCGGTCTTTTCGTTTCGAATTTTATAGTTACCCGAACTGCCTTTGTTGCTGATTTCAAAAACTGCATCCGTTTCGTTTTTGGCCATGTACTTAGCAAGGTATCTCACGGCTGCTTCACCTTTGTTGTACTGTATATCCATGTTTGCTCTCCAGACACCTAGCAAGTAGGGGTTGTACCCATTAACCTTCATGTCTTCCACTCCTCTTTCATAGATACAGGCATCCCCCACAAATTCAGGTCTTTGGTGCTGGCTCTTTTGGATATCCAAAGCGACATTTACCAGTGACATGCAGTTTGCAATACCTAAAATGTATATATTAATTTTTTGTAAAAGAAACGATGAAAGGATTTTTACTTACACATCTTGACATTCATGAATTTGATGTTTCAGGACCAGCCTATGCATCAAAGGATCATCATTAAAATTTTTTGAGTACAACTTGCAGGTAATTACATTCAAAGCAATCAATTCCTCAACAGATTTTTTTGTCCAAAGAACGCAATGAATATGAGGGCTGCCTCGATCCTGTATCTCCAATACCCAACTATAATCGTCAATACCTCCGATTGTCTTAGCAAAATGACCAAGCACATACTTGTCAAAGAATCGACGCCATTTTCGATGAAAGTGATTGGAAAAAAGAACCGGATCATCCCAAGGGTACTTAGTTCCAGTAGCTGCTGAGAAATCATCACTAAAATCGTTACAGCTGAAGGTCAAAAAAAGTTGTGGAGAGCCAAGATTTTGAAAGACAGTTGACAAATTCAGATAATTTTTTCTCTTGTAAGAAAACGATGAACGGACAATATAGGGTACGTTAGAAGTAATACTTTTGTTGTAGGTATTAGTGGAGGGGTCAATTACGTCGCACTGCCTGAGATTGCTTCTTCCTTTAGTACTCACAACCAGTCGATTGGATGACGCAATATTATTTCTTTCGATACAATCCAAAAGAAAAAAAATGAAAGCTTGATCTTGGGCAAAACGACGGTCAGCCATAAGTAATCTTAATCGTGTGTATCCTTTCAATGTTTCGTTGAAGAGTGTAGCCTTTGCAATTCCACCATGATTTTCTGCTTGAGACGTGTTTTCTTCGTTTGGAGTGCACATAGAAAAGTGGCCTTGGCATTTGGGATACAAGTAAGGAAACATCAAAGCAAGTAAACTTTCTGTGGACAGTCGAATGTAGGATCCAGTGGAGCCATTCTTTCCAATAATTAAATCAGAGAATTCAACACCAGCAGCCTCGGGATTGACATTGTTTTCAGCAAATAAACAATTGTCAGGCCATTGAATTTGCCCGTCAATTTTTTTGACACCGATAAACTTTGAGCTTTCTTTAATGTGGTAGTTTACAAGAGAAAACATCAATGGCGGAAGTTCATATCTTTGTAAAAGAGGATGAACATTTTTCAAAGCTTCATAAGCAGTAATAACCTTCTTCTTGTTAATGATTCGAGGATCACCACGCTTATAGTAAAGTCCAAGGGTGCTACCATATGCCATTTCAGCAAACTCAAAATTGTGTTTAATCCCAACAGCACCAGAGAGTTCATAATGACCAATATAACCTGATTGAATGTTGGATTTTCGTGTAATTTGAGTCATTAACTTTATAGGAGAGAGTGCACATCTTTCACGGTAATTAAGACCTTTAGTTTCCTCCAAGACATCACCTATTAATTATGCTACTAATTAGTTTTGAAGTTCACTGTATTTCTAACTAACTCTAAACGTACCAGGGTAAATATAAATTGGAAATTCAGTTTCCTCCATCATTAAATGGTCTTTACAAACCATGTATGTAGTTGTCCCTCTGTCATCAATATTTGTCAAAGGAGTGACACCCCACTGGGAACAATTACAGGAATCAATGTTATCTATTTTACGATAGAAACTTTCTTCAGGATAAAGTTTTCTTAAGCAGACGCAACAGACACCATCAGGTTTTTTAGCAGAAAAGGCTTGAAAATCAAGAATTTGTTTTCGTTCCACATGAGAAAAAGACATTAGAGAATTGTCTTGAACACGGAATCTGGACATGAAGTCTCTCATATTTGAGCTTGTAGACATTTTAGCGCTTATTGTAATTATGTATAATTAGAAAAGTTTATTATAATTGATTCACGGTTATTTATACTTTTCATGGTTTTTTTTTCAGGCACAATAAGTTGTTTGATCACCAATATTTAAAATTAGGAAATGTTTCATGTTGATATGTTTATTAAAAAACAAATATAAAAAAAAATAGAAAAAAAAATTAAATTTCCATGTTATTGGAAGTGGCAAAGAGGGCAGCGTCGAAAGGGAATAGTATCATCAGGCAAGATCGGACAAGATCAGAACTCTGACAGGACATTGGAGGTCTTAACTCCAGGATTTGGAACTTTTGTCACAACTTTCTTTTCCGCTCTGGCTACGCCTGAGTTCTTTTTCAATCGCTTGACGATTGATTCTTGGACCGCGATGGGATTGAACATTGGCAGCAAGAGTTTCATTACAACTTTAATTTTTGTTAGTAAAATCTGTGATACTGAAAACTATTTATGGGTTGGAAATTTGCTTACCCAAGTCCTCGAAAAGATCCTCAAGGGTCTCACAAAAAGATTCCTTGGAAATCTCCTTGTTTTTTCCCTCTACCAAGTGGATGTTGTTCCAGTTGTCCCAGACATACTTAAACATAATAAATTTACACTTCATGTACTCCACGGATGAAGGGTAAATATCTTCTGAGGCCGGCATACAACCCGCAGAAAAAGCAACACCAATTACATGACCATCATGATCAACTTCCCTAATTGGAGAGACAGAAGTTACTCCAATTCTTACCGAAGCAAAAGCCTTGTTGGAATCGTCGAACGTGTAGGCCGAGACGTTTAGACTCCCTAATAGTATTAAAATAGACTCTATCAGTAAAGCGAATTTCAAAGTGAATTGAAATCATATATTACCAATTACTCTATGGGAAGTTCCCTTTCTAAAAAACCTCAAAAAGTAGAACATCATGGGATAATTGAGGCCAGATACCACGAACACAAGTCTCAAACTGGCATCAACACCTTTGGACTCGAGCGAAATCGATTGTCCACTCAAAACTTTCATTTTTGGGACGCTTTCAGTCACGACAACTCTATCACATGTAGCTGTTACCATTTTTCTTGAATTAATTAATTTTTAAAGATGAATAGCAGCAACATTGCAAAGAAATGGTTTTTTATAGAAAAATTGCCATGATTTGTAAAACGTTACTTGTCTCAATGTGTTATGTAGCAATCTAGTTCATACAAAAAAAGTAGCACGATGTGAAAAGTTGATAGTAATCGAAGGTAAAGAATTTCTTTCTGTCATCACAATGAAAATTGAGGATTAAGATTTAGCACTGACTTTTTCAGACTTATGTGTGTTTTGCGTATTAAGAATTGAGTGTTTGGTCGTCATGAATTATGTGTGTATTTTGTCTTAAGAGCCCATTTTTCTATTATCGCTAAATTGACGTAAAGCTATTAAAAAGGGGCATCCGATTTAACATTGTATTAAAGCATTGAAGTTGTATTCAAGTTTTGAAGTTGTATTCAATTATCTGAAGTTGTATTCACTTTGTTTGCAGTCAATCTTCAGTCCCTTTCGTTATTCCTTTTTTTTTTTTATATCTTACTTTTTTCTTTTGGGTAGCTTATTTTCCTTCTTTACAAACTTTTACCTTATTAGATACTAAGGTAACATTATTCATAACTATTTGTACAAATTGATAGCAACGTTTATCAGCTAATATGCAGAGTTACGTTACAATAATAATGTATACCAGTAAAAAATTCAAGAATTTAGTTAGTGCCACTATATTGCGCAATGCTAATTTTTTGTGATAAGCAAAAAGAAAAACAATCATTTTTGCAAATAGTAAGTTGTTCTAGAAATCAAGAATATTTAGTGCCCTCCTTTTTGTTTCGCTTCTGTAATGATTTGCATATACAATATGGTTGGCGTTATATTGCTTTTGTGTAACTTTGATCCATGTGCTTGACTACTTTGTGTAATTTCAATTTTTAGCTTTAGACCAGAATTGGAAAGATATATTTTTTAATGTAGGCACATATAGCTCATGGGAAGAAAAAGTATATCTTGTTTTTCACATGCCAGGAGTCTGTGCGTCAGAGAAGAGTGAGCTGTGTTACAATAAAATTAGTATACACGAGTTGGTAATCATGATAACGATTTTTTTTATTGCATGATTCTAGGTAGTAAACTAATTGTAATACATTTGTCACATTAGGTATATTACAGATATGTTATGAGTTGCTGTATGTTTTTAAAAAAATTATGCAAGATATTGGAATTTACAGTTATATCGAATATTGCAATTACTAGGACATTGATAATTCAAATAATTTGAAACAGCTATTTGTTCGTAGTAATTTATATGCATATTTATTGAAAAAAAAAATGGCTATGTTTTAAAAACATACTGCTCCATAGAGCCATAACTCTTTTTGGATTTATCATTCTTATTAACTCCTGCCTTTTCTTTTCCTTTCGAACTTTCTTTTGTTCTACTGTTCCTTGCAGGATGTTTACCTTTGTTCCTAATTTTATTTCTAGGCATTTCGGAAGAGTATTCATTATCTGACGTAGAATTATCAGGATCGTTTGGCTGGTCGTCATGATATGGCACAATTTCTTTGTTCGAATTTATATCCGTATCACCTGATTCTATAGATCTTGTATTATAGGATTCATATGATCCTGTATTACTGTTGATGGAAATGTTTCTCTTTCTTTTGCCATACTGAATCAATTATAATTGTTAGTCTGTATTGATTGCTTTAATGTATGTTTGCTATCTCACGTTAGATTTTTTTATGACTGATGGCCCAGGATTAAATTGCCTTTGGTAAATCTCAGAGGTTTCTGAAATAACATCCTCTTCTACTTCTAACAATCAAAAGATAAATATTTTGTAGTAATACGCTACACATCTTATCAAGTTTGTCATACCTTGTGAATTACTGATTTCTTCTTGTCGCACACTAGACATTGATCTATTGTCAATAACATCTGCCTTTTTGAAAAATTTTGAAGACGACATAGTACTTCTTGAATTTGCAATGTACATATCAAGATTCTGTTGAGCTGTGTTGCTGCTACCAAAGCGGAAAGGCCTTGTGGTAGACGAGCCTTTGCTTTTACCAGAGGAAGAACTGTATTGGCTGCTATTTTGAAGGTGAGATTTTTTTAATGCAGCAATAATACTCAGAGTATTACTACTGGACAAAGTAGATTTAGACGTTTGGCTTGAATTAGAACTATCATCGTCTAAAATGATTCTTCCAAATTTTTGGAACCTCCTATTGGGGATGTTGGGTGGTTGTTCCTGAGAAAAGGTATCGGACCTCCCAGGGATTTCACTTTCATTTAAACGTGAAGTTTCGGATATTTCATCGTCCACTAATGATACATTATCAAAGTGATGTCTTTCTTCTTCAGAATCTTCAATAATAATGTCATTTACCGAGTAGCCATTTGTAGTTCCGCTTCCTTGGGTATCACCCATCATATCCACACTTTCATTGTTTTCCTGAGTGTTAGCATCCGATTGGCTTTCGATTTCATCGTTATCAGAGTGGAGGAAATTTCGATTATGTTGCATATTAACATCTACAGCAATTTCTTCTTCACTTTCATTTTCTAGATATAGTAAGAGGTAATACAAGATGGTATCAAAACCCGCAATTTAGAGTTACACATGATGATCTTTGGTAGCGTACCTTCAGTTGCATGAAAATCGGGAGGACCAAAGGTTTGATTTACGGAAAGGTTGACCATATAGTAACCATTCTTAACACCTTCTTCAAATTGGTTTGGAGATATGTCGGGATGTACCATTCTTTTCATGTGTTCAGGAATTAATGGAATACATGGCAAAATAAATGCAGAAAGACATTTCAGATGAAACTTTTCTTCGAAAATAGTACCCAAAAATGAATTGCCAAGTGCTTGTTGTTCCATTTCACCATTTACGACCATCATCAAGGGCTCTTTCTTTCCCAAAAAGGCATGGAGATCAATTTGAAAGTAGTCTCGAACGCATTTCTCTAATAAAACTATTGTCGTAATAACTTTGACACTGAATTTACTTTTTTTTTATCAGACGTTAATAAAAGTTTAGACTTTAAGGATTAATGATACATACGCGGAAGAAGCCTCATACAGGTGTATAAATGCCTCATTGTTATCTTCGTCACATACTACGGTATGTGGAAAGCAAACGCCGAAAAATGTGGAAACGATGGATTGAACCATATGCAATATATTAAAGTGAAATATTATCAAATTAGCAAAAGCAGTAAAAGAAAGCCGAATTTTCTTGGATACTTTTATAAGTAATTTTAATTCGACTCGTATGCACCAATAGGTTTTAGCCCACGTTGAGAGCTTTACTAACAGGTGCCACAGTTGATACATTCATGGTTTTCCAAATGATCGAGTTCAAACATGTAAAAAACACAATAAAATGTAAAATATAATAACAGCAAAATAATCGAATCAATATTATACTGCCTGTTTTTCTGAATAATTACATCAATAATTATTTAGAATGACTTCACTTTAAAGCTGGTCTTTGTTGGAGAAAATGTTTATTTAGGTGAATTTTTAATGTAGTACCGAGTCAATGAACCTTATATTTTTTTCATCTCAGCAAAAGCGTCTAATTATTTGGATTTAAAAAAAAATGTGTTACGACTATAAAAGTTTGATGACAGATATGCTTAAAAACTTTGGCAATCATACAAAATAAAAATGCTAAAATAATAGTCTTCATCTATATATTAGTAAAGTTTTTTTATCAGCAAGGCAAATTCTGCTTACTCAAAACGATAGCCTAAAGTGCCGATTATAATTGTAAAATAATCATAAGTTGAATCACGTTTATTGGAAATGTGCTTTTTCTGCTTTTCTTCTCTACATATATATTTATATATATATCAGTGGTTACTCTTCAGTTAACATTATATTATAATCAATGTAAAAGCTTCAATATTCTATAGCTACAGCATGTGCAGTGAGTATTCAGTGCCAATTGACAGAAATAGCTATGAAATCGATTTATCATTAGCATTTGTGGCATGAGATAATAACACTACTCTTAACAGTACACAAGTATATGAATAATGGCTTTAAATGTGTGTGTGTGTATCGGTTTTGTAATTTGCAATTTAATTATTTTTTAAAAAAGAATGTTTCGGCCTTTAAACCTTCTATTTCGACTGTGAGGAATACAAAAAGCTGATTGAGAAGTATAATTGCGACAAATAGCAATTCTGATGTGCAATAATTGATTTAGAAAAAACTTGTCTTCATTTTAAACAGAACTTAACACAACTACTGTTACCAATAGAATAAATATGAGCTGCTTTGAATTCTAATTTAAATGCAGCATTGAAACCCGTCAAAACGACATAAATTTACCAGATATACAAGTTGTTACTTATCTAATATACAGCACAATGTAAGCTTTTGTAACTTACTCAATGACTCCAATAATATAATGCATAAGGAAAACCTGAATTAACTATTCCACACAACGTGGAATATGGTTTTTATTGGCTGCAGTGGTTTACACTGTGTGTTTGTGGTTAACGGTGACAGATTAAAATAACTATTATTCTCCATACAGACGGCTTTGGGACAAAGTATTTTTTTAGGCCAGCCAACCTTTTTCCAAATTTTAATAAGATTTACAAAGCAGTTGATAACTTATTCTTCATGTATTTTTACTATGAATACAATGAATCAGAGATTATTTTAATTTGAGCATTAAACACTGGATCGATCTTACCACCTATTTACTGCCTCAAAAAGTATCATAATTTCAAGCTTGAAAGATTTGGATTCTTTTATGTAGTTAAATTGCGTTTGCTTTGAGTAGTAATAAGATAAATTTAAAGTGCAAGTTAATGACAGGCTATTATTATTTGCCATTTGTGACAGGTAGTTCTAAAAACATTTATCCACTGATTTGACTTTGGTTACCTCTTTTTTTTTAAATCGTTGATTAATAACATTAAATCATGACTATAATCACGTTTATCATTTTTTTTATCGAGACTTGATACTCACTTAACAGTAAGTAGAGATATTACGTATAGGAATTAAAATTAGCTTTACATTTACGCTGCAATCATAGAGTATAAAGATGCTTATTTTATCGTAACAAATTATGAAAATTGACGCACTTAAGTGGTTGCTATGATTTGTTTATAGACTGTTCATTATAAATGACTGAGTAGAGAAACATAAGCAAAAAATAAATAAAAAGATCTATTAGGTTTCTTAAATTTCTTTCTAGAAATTATTTTCGAAAATCTGTGAAAGCAAAAAATTAAGCGGTTCAAAAACTGTATGATTGTTGATTTAAGAATCAGGTATACATGGAAGGAAAAAAAAAGCTTTATCAACTCGTTAAAAAAGGCAATCTAAATAAATATTATGTTTTTTTACAATTAGATTCCTCAACACTCTTTAATTTTTATGCGCTCTTTACCTTATCTTATGTAACTTTCTTTGCAATAATATAGTTTGAAAAAAGAAACATTCTACATTATAATGGTGCTTTATAGTGTTATGTAATCTAAACGTCAGTGTAACATAAATTTCTATATACGTCGATTTTTAGAGTGCATTTTTGGTCTTTGTATTGAGCTGAAACTTTGCATATATCTTTAAAAAGCATTTATAAGACTTGGTAAAAGTCCCAAAGTGTCTAAGTAAAATCCTGTTGACATATACCAATTTATTGAATTTTGGTCGCCGTATATAGAAGGTATACAGATGACCATATACGGCGAGTAAATTTTGACCCCCTGGGATTAAGATCGTATTAAGCCACATTGCGTATCATGGTTTCAAGAAGCTATGGTCTTAGTTACAGGTTAATCCTGTAAAAATTGCGCTTTTAATCCTTGTTTTTATTTTTTTAAAAATTTTACTCGACATAGATAGAAGGTATACAAAGCCTAAAAAAGGACTAGTACTTCCTTCGGAAGTACCAAAATCTATAAAAGGCGATTTTCCAAGCAGGAAGGTTGAGAACAACTTACTAAATGTTAATTTATGTACATATCAGCTCCAGTTTGAAAGGGCACACTTACATTCATAATATCCTTTGCCACTTTCTATTGACTGGCCCAGTTGATATAACACTAACCAAACATCCACCAATGTATACAGAAAACATTCGCGAGCCCTCGAGAGATGTAGCAGCATATCGACATAAACAGTTTTATCAGCCTAAACGAATAAAACATTGCAGCCTAAAAAAATTTTATAGCCTAAAGCAAAATTTTACAGCCTAAAAAAAATTTTACAGCCTAAAAAAATTTTTTTACGGCCCAAGAGAAGAATTTTATACCAAAAAAAAACATTTACTACCTCAATCCGCCGTTATAGCCCAGAGACTAATCTATGCACTCTATTATTATACAATTTATTAGAGAAGACGTATTGGATATTCATATGACTATTACCTTCAGCATATGGCGGATATGTACACATAAATCTTAGGCAATTTAAAATATACAGAAATAATAAATATTGGTGTTTTGTACGCTACATTTATTTACGGTATATATTTTAGTATTGTCTACTACTACATGAAGGACAGTACTTACAAAATAAAAAAATGTTGGCTACAAAAAAAAAGAATACAAACAGGAAAGAAAGGCAGAAAAATTGTCATCCGCAAGTTTTTTATTTATATGAATTATTAAAAGTGCGAATTAGCCTAAAAGATTCTTTAATTATTGACAACCCTTCTTTTGCGACCACGTCTGGCTAATGGAGTATCTTTTTCCAAAGACACATCATCATTTTCTCTACCAGACTGCTCTTCATTGGGTATAGAGAAACTCTCTGATTGCTCTAGTCCGTGACCAGGAGGGATGATCTCTTCATCATCGGACAAAGAGCTTGACTTCTTTTTCGACACTCTCTGCAAAACAAATATTACATTAGTTGCTTAACAATAAACGAACTTCCTTTATTATAATGTACGTACCTTATCTCCCAATGTGTTTGAGCATCACTAGCCAGCAGTATTTCAGCTCCCCAGTGATCCAAGCATTGATCCTAACCTATCTTACCTCTTCTAGCCAGCGCTTCCAAAGCAAGGATATACTTCATCTTGAGCTCACGGGAATGCATACCCCATGTCTTTATGCTACGAACTGGGTTTGACTGGACCTCTGCCTCTAATTGTGTGATGCATGATTTAGCATAATCGCTCAATACACCATACTAGGATTTCAATTCCACGTTCTTCATTTCAATTTCTTCTTGACTTTCCTCAGGTGTATGACATAAATCAGGTCGAACACACAACAAGAACTCCCAGAGTGCCTCTCTGTCAGTAATCCTATTAGGTTTACCCTTTTCGGTTACAATACCAGTGTCAGGCTTTTTACCTCCAGGAAAACGAGCGATACTTCTAACAGCCGATTGCTCGGTCATCTGATCGACTGTTATAAACACGTGTTAGTTGTATGTCAAAGTATACCAATGCCATGTTATGATTACCTCTTCTCAGTGTCATGTCAGTCACGCTCCCTCCAATCAACCGTTCTTCCATGGCGTCAAGACGATCGTTTACCTGGGAGTAGTTCGATCGGATTTCGGTTTGCAAATCAAATACTAGCTTTTGAAGTTCGATGATGGTACGAACCATGTCATTTGTGTTATATGCGGGCATTTTCAAATTATTTTATGATGTAGATTGATAAAAACCGCTTTGCCAGAAAAAACGCGCTATATATATATTCTCCATATTCTTGTACGTCATGGTTTTTACATCATATCCATGAGATAAACCATGCCACTATATAAAAAAAATTAGCACTAGTTGCAATACGTAATGACAGCTGTCAGGGATTCAAAATTGGATCTAGTGGTTAATGCAACTGCGTTAAATACTTTATGTTGGGATTAGATTACGACATCTTTCTTTAGCACTTCCCTCGATTTAATTCCATGATTTTATCACGTAACTTTACATGCAGCTATTGCGACAGTCTTTATGAAAACCATGCTCGAATGGTCGAGCATCAACGAAGAGTAAAATTCCATTTGTTTGCAGTAAGAAGTGGAATGAACAATATCAATACCAATACACAAGATGATGCTGAAGAAGAGCTTACTTCCGTCCAAAATCTTGATGAGCATTATGCGGACGATGATACTGTAATGGAAGAAGCTGCAGGTAATAATAATTAAAAATATAGTAACGAATTTCTAACTTACAATGTATT